AGAACACTACATAATACCATAGTAATGGACATGTGAGAACACTGCATGATGCCACAGTAATGGACATATGAGAACACTGCATGATACCATAGTAACGGACACGTGAGAACACTGCATGATACCACAGTAATGGACACGTGAGAACACTACATAATACCATAGTAATGGACACGTGAGAATACTGCGTGATACCACAGTAATGGACACGTGAGAACACTGCGTGATACCACAGTAATGGACACGTGAGAACACTGCGTGATACCACAGTAATGGACACGTGAGAACACTGCATGATTCCTGAGTAATGGACACGTGAGAACGCTCTACATGATACCTCAGTAATGGGCATGTGAGAACACTCTGCATCATACCACAGCAGTGACATGTGACATGACGCCTTGTCACAACCCACAGAACTGCAGCACAGGAGTGGGCTCCAAAGCAGACTGCAGACTCGGGGTGGTGGCGACGTGTCGGTGCTGATCCGCAGTAACACGCCTGGCCTCGGTTGACGGGACCTGCGTGTGGGGAGGAGGAGCACATGGGGACGCTATACATTCTGCTCCATTTTCTGTGAACCTGAAATTACCTTAAAGGGTCCATTTTTTTTTTAAACGAAGGCCTCTTCTCCACCCCACCCCCACGCGTTCCCCTGTCCTCAGAGGAGACAGCGGGCGGTTCCCTGGGCTTTCCTCTCAGGCAGAACAGATTCCTGTAGCAGCCGCCACCCCCACCATCTTTCTCGTGGAGTGCAGACCTGTGGCCGGGGCGCTTTCCCAGGACAGCGCGCCGTGGCTGTTTCTGCACCTGTGCATGCCTGGCCTGGTGACGGCTGGGGGTGTCCACCTGGGGGTCTTCCTGGGGTGTCTGTCCTCAAGGAGTCTGCCCCTCTGTCACTAAGTGGCCAGGGCCTCATGGCTGCCGTGGCACATGCAGCCTTTACGGTGTTGACCCTGTTCTCGAGCCGACTCAGGCTGAACATTTTCTTTTCTGACAAGGACAGGTGAGACTCAAACCTCAGACTACGGCCTGCGTCCATGCCTGTCCCATGTTCACACCCCTTCTCCATGTCACCTATCCTGTGTCTGGGCCCTTGCTCTGTGTCCCATGTCTCATGTCCCATGTCCGGGCCCCTCCTCCACATCCCATGTCCTGTGTCCAGGCTCTTTCTCTGTGCCCCATGTCTCACGTCCCATGTCCTTGCCTGGGCCCCCTCCATGTCCTCAGAGGCCCCTCACGAGTCGTGGCTGTCACCTCCACGTCCTCCACTCTGGCCCAGGCCCACAGTGCTCAGTGGACGACCCCATCAGGGAGTGCCTGGGCCGCAGGGACTGCCCAGGCTGTGCGTCTAGGGGCCGATGGCTGCGGAGCTGGAGAAGGCTGCGGGCAGGCAGGAAGGGGTGTGTGGCTGCCTCACCGGGCAGCTGGGCGCTCCCTGTGGTGGTTTGTGCGGGGACAGGGCTGCCCCTCCGTGGCCCCCAGATAGGTCCTTTCCTTGGCCCCACTTGTGCTGGGACGCTGGCCCTCCCTGTGACGTGCGGTAGGTGCCGTCCCGCGGAGATGGTGGCTGGTTTACAGCACGCACTTCCTGTGATAAGACACTCTTCTGCCCCGTTTCCAGCCACAAACGGGTGCTGTCGGATGGGTCCACTGACCTAAACACGCTGTTCTCGGATCTGGCCCCACGCCCACCTGCCCAGGGCACCGGCCTCCTGGCACGCCGTCTCCCGTGGCCCTGAGCGAGAACCTACTGTCCTTCAGCAGCGACGGAGCTGAGGGACTCGGGAGGCGTCAGGGCTAAACGTGCCTGAGCCGTCCCAGGAACCGTTTCTGTGTCTGGGAGAGGTCGGCACAGTCAGCCCAGGGCTCTGAATTTGGGGAGTGTCCTGTTCCTGCTCCATAAACGGCGGACGCGTCTCGTGCGCCGCCCCTGCCTGTGAGGCCCAAACACCGGCGCTGTGCCCCTCTGGCTGGGTCCAGATCGCAGACGGGGGCGGGCCCGTGAGAGCCGGCGCCTTCCCTGGAGGCCTCGGCCCCTCCCAGTGCTCGGGTGGACAGCGCCACAGAAACACAGGTTCACGCTGCTCGTGGACACAGCCAGCGCTTGCTGCAGGGCCGTCCCGAGGTTGTCCTTGCACCCGGCAGCAGAGCCCCGGCTCGGGCTCCTCACGCAGCACCGTGCGGAGAGGCCAGGAGCTGTCCGGGGCATGCCGGTGCGTCTGGGGAGCGCGGCCCAGGCTCCTTCCCCACACCCCACGCTGGGCTGGGCCACCTGTCTGCGAGAGGAAGGGCCCCAAGCCCAGGTGTGAACAGCAGCAAGACCACCCCATCTGCAGGAGCTTGGCCTGCGCGTGTGGGGAGGGGCCGCTGTGGCCCCAGCACGTCCTATGGGGGCTCTGGGGCGGTGCTGGGGCGGCAGCTGGCAGAGCTGGTCCGGAGGCTCCTGCCTGTGCTCCGTCCCTCCAGCTCTAGGATGAGCGCTTCCCTGGGACCTGAGTGATGCTGGCTGGATTCGAGGGCGAGAATCGATGTTGTTAAATAAATCCCTGTGAAGGTCTGAATGGCAATTCCACGGCCCTCGTAACCATGCTCACGGCTCCGAAGAGGAGGCCAACTAGCCCTGTGCGTCTGGGGGCTGGGAGCTCCCGGGGATAATGGGGTCACGTGTGGGATTCCAGGGCGGGCGGAGTTACGAGCTCGGGCCGGGGGCGCTGCCGGCCGTGTCCTCTCGGAGCCCCCGGCCCCACGGGCTGCACGTGGCCGTGAGCAGCGCTTGGCCGGGTGGGTTGGGCGCAGAGATGAAGTGTTCACCATGTCCTCTGGTCTTTTCCAGCCAAGAAGTACAAAAAGGTGACCGGCAAAGAGATCTACTCGGACACGCTGGAGAGCACGCCCATGCTGGAGAAGGAGAAGTTCCCGCAGGACTACTTCCCCGAGGTCAGTCGGGCGCCCATGCGCCTCTGCGCGCGATTCCCGCATCATGGTCGGAGCTGGCTGGCGCCGGCCACTGGTGTTCCACCTTTCTGGGAGGTTCTAGGCCCTCCTGGGTTGATCCTGGCTGTCACAGACAAGGGAGCGGAACCTTACGTGTTCTGTGCCATGTCAGCAGATTCTCCCATGGTCGCGTCCAGGCCGCAGAACCCGCTCCCGAGACGCAGGAGGATGTTGGTCAGCTCACCTGGGCTGCACCTGGGGCCTCCCAGCACACGGGTGGAGGGGTCACACTGGGCAGGGAGGGCCAGGACGGCGGCCGGCTGTGCCCTGCCAGGGTGTCGGAGGGACCGTGCCACACAGCAGCGTCTCCCCTGTCCCAGCGCAGGGGTGCGAGGGGCAAGGTCCTGTCCACGGTAAACCTCGGGCGGGCGTGCCGGCCAGCGAGCAGCTCAGCCATATGTGAGGGGCTGAGACCACGTCCCAGCGGTGCTGCGGCTGCCTACGGGAGTTTAGAAGTTAGACAGTCGGGGACTGTTTATTGTCTTACTGCGTGTACAGAAGTAATCGTAAAATGGCGATGCAGTTCCTTCAGTGCATTTTGTTTAGTTTCTGTGTGTGTTTATGCAGCTATTACACCATCTGGGTAATTTGGGGTAGTGTTATTTTTTAACAAACCTTACAACCAGCATTTTTGGAGGTTCCCTAGCCTGTGCAGTCACCATGGCGACCCAGAGTTCATTGCCTTGCCCTTTTGTCATCAGTTAGATCACACGGGGTTGGGACACCTTGACCGGAAGCATTTTGAGTGCTGAAAATGAAGAGGTGGTGGCTGGTCCCGGTCTGGGCACACCCCGCCCCTGCCGTGACGGGTGGGTGGAGCGTGTCTGCCCGGCCCCGGAAGGATCGTTCTGCCATTCCCTTCCCCATGCGGTCCTTCTGCAGGGAAGGCGGCCGAGCCCGTGCACAGGCCGAGTCTAGCAAGGCCACGACTTTATTAACTTGCTTTATGGCGAAAACCTTGAGCGCAGGGCTCCGTGAAGGATGGGTGCCCTTGTCACCCCGGGGCTCAACTTCCTCGTCCATTTGTCCTCGGGCCAAGGATGCGGCCTCTGCCGGCCTCCTGTCCTCGGCCCACTCCTGGGCCCGCTCCGGGCTGCCCACCCCGAGCATCCTGCCCTCGGAGGAGGATGCACAGGAAAACCGGCCCTTTCTGTGCGGAGCCGAGTCCCCGTATTGTGACGCTGCCACTCGGTGGCACGCACCTCACGAGGGCCGTGGGGGCTGTGGTTCCCTAGAGACTGTGGCCGAGCCCTGGGCCTCCATTCAACCCAGACCAGAGCCTGTGTCGCCAAGTGCCCAGAGACAGGCGTGGGGACCCGTGAAAGGGAGGGCGGGGGGCACCTCGGCACAGGCGCTGGCCCTGGGGCCGCCAGGAGGGCCCTGGACGTCCGTCTCGCTTGGTGGGCCTCGGCCTGCTCAGCCCCTCCCCTGAGCCCTCTCGCCACCCCGAGCCTGCCTGGCTCTGAGGACACCGGCCTCGGCCTGCTCAGCCGCTGCCCTGAGCCGTCTCGCCACCCCGGGGCTGCGTGGCTCTGGGGACACCGGCCTCGGTCTGCTCAGCTGCTGCCCTGAGCCGTCTCGCCACCCCGGGGCTGCCTGGCTCTGGGGACACGGGCCTCGGTCTGCTCAGCCGCTGCCCTGAGCCGTCTCGCCACCCCGGGGCTGCCTGGCTCTGGGGACATGGGCCTCGGCCTGCTCAGCCGCTGCCCTGAGCCGTCTCGCCACCCCGGGCTGCGTGGCTCTGGGGACACGGGCCTCGGTCTGCTCAGCTGCTGCCCTGAGCCGTCTCCCCACCCCGGGGCTGCCTGGCTCTGGGGACATGGGCCTCGGTCTGCTCAGCTGCTGCCCTGAGCCGTCTCCCCACTCCGGGGCTGCGTGGCTCTGGGGACACGGGCCTCGGTCTGCTCAGCTGCTGCCCTGAGCCGTCTCCTCACCCCGGGGCTGCGTGGCTCTGGGGACACGGGCCTCGGTCTGCTCAGCCGCTGCCCTGAGCTGTCTTGCCACCCCGGGGCTACGTGGCTCTGGGGACACGGGCACCGGCCGAGGAGCCAGGCTGACGACACACCCCCCAGGGGAGGCTCCCCACACGGTGCCCTGGCCTCGGCCTCTGCTTTGGCGACAGCACTGCCCGCCTGGCGGTGAAGGGGGTGGAAGCCCAGGCCCTCCTCGGCCTCCTGCCCACCCTGATATGTTGTCCGGCCGTTCCCTGCGTCTGGTCTGTCCGAGATGGGCGGGGAGAGCCCAGGAGGGCCCTGAACCTACCGGGGATGGACCAGCATGTGTCCTGAGGGACCAGAGCCGCAGGGGCAGCCAGGGAGGGCAGCGGGATGGACGGGGACCCTTGGAAAGGAGCTGGACACGAGGGGCAGCCTGGGGCACGGGGGTGGGACGGGGGGACCAGGGCAGGGTCAGGGGGAGTGCAGGGCAGGTTTCGGATGCTGCTAGGCCGGCCACCGCCAGGGTCTGCTGGGCTGGGGGCTGAGGCTGGGCTTAGCTGGACGGAGGAGGCCAGCTGACTGGGGGAAGCCAGACTGAAAGGGCAGCTCTGGACGGGGGCCCGAGGCTGGAGCCTGCGTAGACCCCGGGGCAGCAGGTATCCCGCAAGTCCCTTACCTGTGTCCACAGCTTCCTCCTCTAGGTGCTGCAGGACCCTGAGCTGTCCAGATGCCGACAGCTGTGTAGGGAGCACGCGCAGGCACCAGGGCAGCAGGTGCCCCACAAGTCCCTTACCTGTGTCCACAGCTTCCTCCTCTAGGTGCTGCAGGACCCTGAGCTGTCCAGATGCCGACAGCTGTGTAGGGAGTACGTGCAGGCACCAGGGCATCGAGGGCAAGGGTGGCAGTGAGTGCTCGGTGCCCTGCCCTCCCCCAGTCCCGAGGTGGTGCCTGCTCTGCGCCAGGCCTGGTCCACGTTTCCGTAGGCAAGACCAGCCCACACTCTCCTGCCTTGACCTTGAGTTCCAGGCGCCTCCACACGCCTTGCGTTTCCCAGCCATGTCCACAGGTTCACGTCAGTGTCCACGTTGAGTGGCTCCCACTGGAACATCAGCCCCGGGCCCCCAGCGAGCAGCCTCCACCCAGGACTGCACGGGCGTGCTGGCAGCCCGAGTCCCGCCCCCGTTGGTGATTCTGGAATCTGGGATCAGCAGACCCCATGCCCATCTCCATCTTGAGAACTGTGGTGCCTCATGGGCCCTGTGTGTCCCTGGCCTCTGCGGCGGTCTGTAGGCAGGGCTCAGCAGTGTCACTGTCACTCCATCTGTCTGAGGGGGACCCCAGTGGGACCACCCAGGGCAGGGCCTGGCTTCCCGCAAGGCTGCACGTCTTCTCCAGGGCAGCCCGGGCCCTGCCTGGCAGGGCCTCCCCCAGGCTCTCTGGCCCCCACCTATTGAGGCTGGGGGCGGGGGTCTCTGCTTTGACTTGGCCGCCCCTTGGGTGGAGGGTGCCCCAGCATGGGCCTGGGTCGTGGCCCCCACCGGGGTCCTGTGGGCAGCGTTCTGTCCCCGCCCGGGTGCTGGCATGGTCTGAGGGGCAGAGCGTCGAGGGCTCTCCCTCCCGCGGGGGAGCAGCCCAGCCCTGTCCTGCCTCTGCGGCCCCAGCTCCAGGTGACCATTGTCACGTCCATGGGCAGAGGAGGAAACGCGTTTCTGGGATGTAGACTCGCAGGAAGGAGAGGCCATGGTGTCTCTGGGTGGACCCCAGTCTCCCGGCCTGGAGAGCGCAGGTGGCAGCCCACAGCCTGGCGGGCAGTGGCCAGCAGGTCCTGTGGCTGCTGGGGGCTGGGCAGAGGGTCGGCCCTGCCCAGGGCCCAGGCTTTCTGGGGATGAGCACGGGCGTTGCCACCCCACCACCCCGCCACCCTGGAGACACCTAGGACCCCTTGTGCCTGACCTGGCGTGGTGCACAGGCGAGTCCAGGCGCCTTTCCTTCCTCTGTCGGGCGTGGCGTTCCTAGACCTCCAGAGCCTCGCGGACTGCGTGCAGCTTCCGCGTGTCCGCAGCGAGGGGTCCCAGCGAGGCCTCTGCCACCTGCCGGCCTGGCCACACCGCACCGTGCCCTGCCCAGCCGCCCCTTCCTCCGCGCCCTCTGCCAAACCTGCCGCTGTGCTTGGACGTGTTTTGGGGGAGGGACCTGGTTCGGACTGATTTCTCTCTCTTTTATTACCGTCACTTAGGCTAATCTGAGTGTAATTACGGTGATGGAGGCGTAATGCAATTCCAAATAATCACAGCCCAGCGCGCAGAGAACTAACGAAACTTTCTCTGTGATTTATGGCGCTTTTGGCTCAGTATGAATTCCAGATGGCACCTCTGGGAGCAGCACTGCAGATAATGTGAGGCCATTTTTAAAAAGCAGATTTGTGTAGTCGATCAAGGCAAGTCATTTTTTTCCTTTTGCCCGTGGTGAGAAATTGGTTGTTACCATAGATCACAGGCCTGCTGCAAGCTCTCACGCAAGATGAATTAATTCCACTAATGCTCCGAGCAGCCTCTGCGGCACGGCGGTGTGGCGATAACCTCCCGCAGCCTCTCTCTCCTCCGTGGCGATTTATGCCGTCTCTTAGTAGATGAAACCGCCTGTACTCACGATCCACCTGCCGGCTGCAGGCGTCCTATCCACAGGGCTGGGCAGAGACCTCACACTGTGCCGTGAAGGGTGCGCCCCACTCATGACGTGGAGGCCACTGGTGAAGGCCCCTCTGGGAGCAGAGGAGCCGCCACCGTTCCAGCCGTGATCTCCCAAGGGGTGCTGGGCGGGGGCTCAGCGCGTGGCCGGGGCCCGGAAGTTTCAGAGACTAGGAGGGAGGAGCTCAGGCAGACGCCAGGGCCCCACCCCACACTCCCTGTTTCCGTCTGCAATGACCCAGGCAGCAGCACCTACACCTGCCGGCTGCAGGGCCTTCCTGACAGCGAGCAGGGGTCTGCGGTGAGCAGGCGGCCTGTGTGTGCACCCCAGACACAGTGCGTCCCGGGCCTGTGCAGGGGACCGCGGTGGGGCGTTTCGGGGAGGGGTGTTTGTGGGAGCCGAGGAGCAGTCTCTGGGAAAGGCACCTGCACCTTCTGATGGCCCCGGGGTGGGTGCCTCTGTCCCCACCGGGATGGGCCCAAGTGCCCAGACTCGGCCAGGAGGGGAGCGCATGGCCAAAACGAGGGGGCTTTGGTCCAGGCGTGAGGGGGCGGGTCCTCGCTCAGCATCCTCCTCCGGGGAGCTGGCGCCCGGGCAGGGCGCGGACTATAGGCGCCGGTTCCCTCACTGGCGACGCGAGGACGCCGTGTGGGAACCGTCTTCCGGCCAGTGCGTCCCGGCCTGAACCCAAAACACCAGCCAGCCTCGAGCCACAGGCCGTGAAAGTGCCAACGTCATGGGTTGTAGCTTCGTTTCTTCGTACTGTAAAGTCCTTCAGAAATGCAGTCGTAACAGGTTCACAATCGCCACAGTAGACTCATCTCAGAAGGAACATGCTTTCTACAAATACTTTGTCAGAACTATTTCGTCATGGTAGTGTTATACTGTTAAATTCTCTGAGGTTCATTTGCAATTTAGTTAAAAAGTTTCAATGTTGTTAGAATCCTAAAACGACAGTTATTACCAGTCTATGTCATAAAAAAACCACATTGTCTCCTGTTTTATTTATTCAGACTATTAATAATGTTGAAAATCATTCTCCATTGTCAAAACTTAAAAACCTAAACAATCAAGATATGCACATGTATTCAAGATATACTTACTAACATCCACATACATCTTAATTAGCACAAATAATGGAAAACTGAGGGGAACAATAATTTTTGGCACAAAAATCCGGAGATGCCTTCCATTTTTAATGGGAGAAAACCTGTGGACAGTCATGTTAATTCCGGGCCAGAGCTGAGTGTGTTTGGCGGGTCTCAGCTGCACCTGTCAGGACTGGGCTGGTTACAGGGAGTCTCCGTGTCCCTCCTGGAAGCAGGATAAGCCATGTCCAGGGTTATCTTCACTGCGGACACGCCAGCCCGCAGGGCTGCGGACCGTCTGTTCACGCCTTCAGCACGTGGACGTGCTGGATCCCGCAGGACAGTGAGGACTGGGCCCCTTTCTGTTCCAGCCAACCCCCGGTGCTGCTGTAACAGAGCGCTTTAGGCCGGGTCGTTTATAGGCAATGGAAACTTACTTCTCACGGTTCTGGGTCTGGGAAGTCCAGGGTCAAGGTGCCGGAGCTTCGTGTCTGCCGAGGACCCGGCTCTGCCCTTCTCAGGGGGCGCCCATGGCTGTGTCCCCGTCCCCGGAGGGGGCGGGGGCCCCAGTCCTCACTGTCCTGCGGATCCAGCACGTCCACGTGCTGAAGGCGTGAACAGACGGTCCGCAGCCCTGCGGCTGGTGTGTCCCGCAGTGAAGATAACCCAGGACACGGCTTATCCTGCTTCCAGGAGGGACACGGAGACTCCCCGCAACCAGCCCAGTCCTGACAGGTGCAGCTGAGACCCGCCAAACACACTCAGCTCTGGCCCGGAATTAACATGACTGTCCACAGTTTTTCTCCCATTAAAATGGAAGGCCATCTCCGGATTTTTGTGCCAAAATATTTGTTCCCCTCAGTTTTCCATTATTTGTGCTAATTAAGATGTATGTGGATGTTAGTAAGTATATCTTGAATACATGGCCATATCTTGATTGTTTAGGTTTTTAAGTTTTAACAATGGAGAATGATTTTCACATTATTAATAGTCTGAATAAATAAAACAGGAGACAATGTGGTTTTTTTTATGACATAGACTGGTAAAACTGTCATTTTTAGGATTCTAACAACATTGAAACTTTTTAACTAAATTGCAAATGAACCTCAGAGATTTAACAGTATAACACTACTATGACGAATAGTTTCTGACAAAGTATTTGAGAAAGCATGTTCCTTCTGAGATGAGTCTACTGTGGCATCGTGAACGCGTTACGACTGCATTTCTGAAGGACTTACAGTACGAAGAAACGAAGCTACAACCCATGACG